GGGGGGGGGGGGGGGGGGAAGGGAGGTAGATATAGTAGACGCGATAATCTACGGTCTTGATTTTTTCATTCCTTAAATCCTTTGATTTATTATCTTAGGGATTCGCACGAGTTCCACTTGTGCAGTTACTTAGATTCTAACGACATCGTTTCTCGGAAAAGCTGAGATAAATATAGAACGGTCAATCCGGCTATATTAAGGAATATCCACACCTACCCTCGGGAACTTCCCTGGGCTCGTCAGTCGTACATCTCCGGAGAATAGATCCGAGGGCAGATTCGATTCGCAAGCCTAGAGAAACTCGAAGAAGCTCGGGATGTTGTCACAAAAAAAAAGTAACTGCAACTGCAATGTTGGCTTGGTTCCACGGTCACGCCACTTATTAATTGAACAGGATCTTATGGTAGACTGTGGCGGCACAGAAAACTTCACCACCGCATCACACCGTAATCGCTGGAAGAAGGGAGGCAGACACGACTAGGTGGTGGTAAATTTCTTGCCTCTTCCATTTGAGTATCAACCTACTGCCGGGCGATGCACATCGCGATGCATGCGGACGTTATTTGCGTGGAGGGAGGCGTACTAATTGCCGGACGTTGCCTGTATTCGCCTAACCTAAGGAACATTCAATTAACACGGCACCGAATTCCCATCTGAGAAGTTGCGGCTACCAATCGCTACCGATTGCTTCCATAGCGATCATCATACCTTCGAATGATTGAGAAATCTTATCTGCCGCTATATATACATGCATATATACATACTTATATATTTCCCTTTCGAAACGAGAACTTTCGATGATAAACAATCACTGACTATGCTCCACGAAATTTCTACATGAACGAAGTGGTGCATCGATGGTCGTTTGCGCATGTATTATAAATAATATTGTAAATAATATAAATGAACGTATTTTATATACACGATGAAGACAACATGTTGCTGTATACATTTTTATATAACAAATACTATTGTAACATCGTAGTACGTTTAAAACGAGATTAATGCAAAGAGATAAAATATTGTTTTCTCTTTATTTATAAAAAAGTAAACTTTGCTTAAAATATGAAATATTTTTCTTGCGCAGATAAAAAATATTTTATTTAAAAAATATTGACTAAAAACATTCACGAATTATCAATTTGTGCTTGTATGTAATATAAAATAAACTTATATACTATATGAAAAATACCATTATTTACTTCTCATCATTTACAGTGAATTTATTTGATTTAAAGCGATAAATCCTTTCACGTACCTATCTATCCATCATAAACGTCGATTTCGTGTATTTTCTCACTTTATAACCATGTCAAATATGAGAAATTCGCATGTCTATCATAACTCTGTGTTAAAATATACACATAATATTTCATTTTCCCGTCAAAAATGTTTTTCTTGTGTAACATTTTTTTTATTTTGTAAATATATTGGATTTTGTGCGTGCGTGCATTACTTCAAAATTTATTTATTTTACGAAATAACATTTTTTTTTATTGTATCTTATTTCATCTATCTGTATCCTTTACAGTTTCTTAACATTTTAATGTGGTATAATGGTCTTTAATTTCATCTCTTATTATTGAATTAGACTTCAACAAACTTGAGGAATTTATAAAGGCAATTTTTGCATCAAAAGATGCATTTTTAGACATTGTTAGCGCAGGCGGATTAATGCTTGGTTCCGTTCTGCTTACAACGGGAAAGATCCGCGGCTCGTCCCATTCCGTTCTCCACACTCTAATACCTTCCTCATATCAACGGCTCGTAACTAGGTTAATACAATCCAGCTCTCGATTGCGCGATTATCACGCGAGCGAAGTCGCGGAAACGATTTTGTCGACCCCCGCAAATATTTTTTTCTTTTAGTTTGAAAGATATATTGTGTAATATTTCTAATAAGGATATTTACTAGAATTACTAGAACGAAAAAAAGGAGTCTAAAATTAACCGTGTTTAGAATTATTATTTTAAAAGTTCATATATTCATTAAAGAAAGCTTATATTTATACCCAGGGAAGTTTGAAAAACCTTCTAAAAATAATAAAGTAGGTTGTTTGAACTCTTTGCAAAAACTCATTTTGTTTTTATATATAATGAACGATGATAGATTTCAAAACTAATGAGTGTATTTACATTTAATATGTTAGACCATGCATTAAGTATTGTAAGAATGTATACGAGGGAGATTCATAAATACAGATTGAAACAAAATACCGAAATATATCGGAAATTGATAAGCAGAAATGTTTTCAACCCGATAAGCAGAAATGTTTTCAAACAAAAGTTGTATTGAAGAAAGACACATAATAGTAAAATCAATTTTCGAAAAAATCTGTTTTTTAAGGTCACAGCATAAAAGAATGTCTGGATTTTTGTATTTAACAACATATTTTAAAGACAAATCAATTCTAGATAGTTCTGCTAAGTCCCTTGTTAAATCGATTTTAGCGTATAGAATTTGTTTTATATTGGCATTATTCTATATTAGCAGTAATTATGAGGCATTTTTATCAAATTTAAATTTGTATCTCATTCTCCATATTTATATTTACAATATTGCTTGCAACCAATTATTGAGATAATTAATTATCAAAAGTAGGACGATTTATCAAAAGATTGTCCGCCATATACAGTTTGGTTCATTATAACTGAAAATATATTTTCTAGACTTATTTCGTACACGATGCAGGGTATGACGTACAAAGATATAATACAAAGCGAGTATCTAGTGTGTAACTAATGTTAACGTATATTCTTATAATTGCGCATTTTGCACATTTCTGTTGCCTCACCGGAACATTATGTTCCGTTCTAACTACGTTATAATTTTAATTATAATTATTACATAAAATTAATAATTAATATATTATTTAATCAAATTGTCAAAAATAACTTGATTCAAATATTGATTAGTCAATATTTTTCAACAATTTAATGTTGATAGGTACTATTTGTAAGTAAAAATAATTCTGCGTAACAATGTTGATTTGCACGGTAGTTTGATTCTGTTAAATGGAAAAGTAGGCTTAAGTGTATGTATAGTACTGAATTTCAAACTAGAACATTTCTTATTCGAACTTTTGACAACGAATATCCGCGAAACGTTCGCATCTTTCTCTCACGTGCAAATCGTATCACGTTTTCGCAAGTCGTGATACACGCGATCGAATAGGAATTTAGAAAATAGAAACGGAATAATTATTAATACTAAAGATTTAAAAAGAAAGTAGTTATTAACACGGAAAAACTGAGAAAAAATACCGAAAAAATGTATAAGAGAAAACAAGATTATAAACAAGCATGTGTTATAAACAAATATTTGCACAAAGTTTCATAATCACTTTTACGCGAGGTTCACTAATTACACAAAAATTCATTACGGTGAAACGTAATTACACGGAAAGAACGATTTTGCTGAAGTATTAAAAAATTTAGATACATGCACATAATGAAAACAATTTCGTTGGACTATCAAAATAATTATATAGAACATTTAAGCATAATGAGCAATGTTAAAAAAATGTTTCGACATTCTAACAATCAGTTTGAGCGCTCTACATTAATATCTTAAGTAAAATTATCTTCAAGTTTGTATTTAGTTAAATATTTTAAATACTTTAGCGTAAAACCGTTTCTTCCTCCGTGTACTCATTCATAATTCATAAAGTAATTAATTAGGGGGATTGAGTGGCCTATTTAGAAAATGACTAAAATACAGAACATGTAGCTCCCTGAGGGAACTCTATGTGCAGAGTGTTACATCAATATATAGGTCAGTATATTGGTTTGACCTTCTCTATCAAGCACGTGTGGTCAATCGATTACGTTTATAAAATATTACATTCAAAAATAATCTGTCGAATAAAATGTGGATATAACACTCTGTACATCTGTTTCTTTACTCGAAGCAAATGTATGATGCATAAATACATATTAACGCAGGTTCCGATGTCATTGTGGCATATTACCGGGGACTTCCCAGAATCACGGTACCTCTTCCATCTAGGAGGGAACATTGCTCGTTCACCATGAAGCCAATAACACACACAGTCGGCAATTTTTTAGATATGCTAAAGACAGAAGACCGTGGCATCGATCGAGCATGCATAACATCGCTAGGTAAGACGCCGTACAAATTATTTTCTCAGTTAATTACTTTATAATAATTATCAGAGAAATTGAAAATCAGATTAAAATTGCATAATACCGCAAGAAAAATCTTGATTGTTTTTTCAGATGGTGTCAGGATAGCTTCTAGCAACACGATAGAATCGCTTTTAGAAGAGGATTTCAAATTATTAATAAACGATAATGAATACATTGTCTCGCCGCCGTTACGAGAAAGGTGCACGACAGTGAGTTATCACATATAAAGGCGATATCTTTTATTAGCTTTATGTTTCTATAATACAATCTCTCGCGAAGCGCGTATTTGCGACATTTACTTAATCGACTAAAATCTTTAGGGATATTTCTTCGAATGTAATATATTTTATCGATAATACATATATTTCGAGTCACGCGAGATTTCTCTTCTTAAATCATGTTCCGCAAGTATCGACGTATATATCTTCCGGTTTTACAGGAGGATTTGCAGAAACTCGGAGATGTACAAGCGCTCGTTGCACAGTTGTACGAGGCATTCCACGTACGGGAGTACCATGTCGACATGGAAAGATCTGTTATCGCCGAGCTAGAGAATATTAGACTACAGCTGGAACCCATGGAACAGGTGAAAAATACGTTCCTACAATTCGTTCTAAAGATCGTAATGTACCGTAAAATAAGGTAGGATAACTTTTGACCCAAATTTTGATCATGCTCATACAACACATATGTCAAAATGGAAACATAAGACTTCTTTAGATCTTGTTGATCTTTTATGTCCTAAATTTAGACATGCGTGCTGTTACCTAGACACTTATAAATTTGGGCCAAAGCTAATTTAACTGTGTCAAACTTATTCCATTTTATGGTATACGGATTAAGCAGCTTACGCGTGCGTATACTAAGAGAAGAACGGTATTTGTTAGTACAAAATTGACTAAAAAGTAACTTTAAACAAGGCGCACTAATGAATTGGCTTTCTATCGCGCGTAAATTAAATGTAAATGCGAACACACTCCCATTGTCCGTTTTCTCTGACTGCATTCTACCTATGGTTTTTATTAATTGCTATATTCTTGAGCGTTCTAATTAGCACACTTGCGTCGTGCTTCGCACACGCGACCAGCGATACTTTTCTAATCCTGCCTTTTATACGCATCGCGCTCATTGTTACGCAATACTGTAAGAAAACGTCTGCGAAATGTTTCTCGTACTTTTTTTCTCCTTATGAAATAGTGAGGCAGGGTAAAAGGTGCCATTTCAACTTCCACGGTATTCTCAAGTATTCCTCTGTCTATACGGCCTCATTTTCTCAATTACTTAAAGAATACGATAGGAGCTAAATTATCTTCGCTGAGAGAAAAATACAAGGTGAATGATGAGCGCGGGGTTTTCACGTTACTTTAATCGTTCTAGAAATTGCAAGAAATTCAAAATGCTGCTTACAAGAAGGCAAATTTTTTTGTCTGGACGTTCCTAGTCATGATGTCTATCCAATTTGGGGCGTTGGCCCGATTAACTTGGTGGGAATACTCATGGGATATAATGGAGCCCGTCACTTACTTCGTCACTTATGGCACTACTATGATGTGGTTTATTTATTATCTCGTGACTCGACAGGTTGGTTTTAGAGAATAAAACGTTGCAAATCGTTAGAAATGGCTTGTGCTACAGCGAAAGACGCAGGACGTAACACAATACGATCAATCATGATTTTTCTTTATGTATCTTTACTTAGGAATACATGCTGCCGGACGTGTTGAATAGACGACATCTAATAGTGCTTCATAGAAGAGCGCGAAAAGTCGGTCTTGACATTAACGTGTACAATGCGTTGAAGAATCGCGCGTACGAGTTGGAGACCACGCTGAAAATTATTCGTGGTCCTTTATACGATTACAAGATTCAACGGAAAAGACAGCAACGCTCCAGATCAAGTTCGAGTAGCTCAAGATCACCAAGTTCTTCGCCTAGTCCTAGCCCCAGTCCTAGCCCCGAAAGAGATGTTCCTAAAGTTATATCCGAGTCGAACATCCCCGAAGAAATACGTCAGAGAATATAAAATTTAATTATAAGGTGTTCAACGATGACGCACGCGATGGAGCTGAAATGTAACGGAATCAACGATTACTTACCGATCGTTTATAAATTGATATTATTTTCTTCCAACGAAGTACACTAAAAAAGACTTCTCTCTGTCGAGTATGAAAGCGATACACTCAGGGTAATTTTCAAATCGACAAAATCGGATGCTAAACGATCGGAATTGCTAGACTGAAATGAAGATGTAATTTATTTTTATGTTTGTGTACGCGTTTACGTGAAGAAAATCTCAACTGTAATGATATCTCAGATCTCGAGTCAGTCTTCCAAGTACAGTATCGGCGGCAACCAATTTTCATCACATGTACAATGCATTTCATAGACGTTAAAGTGCCATGAATTATCAAATGCTCAATGCTGTCGATATGTTTGGAAGACATTAAAGAAAGATACCATATATGTATAAAAGAGAAAGAGAATATACTAAGCGTCATAAATTTCCTTAATAATCACTAGATAAATATCTTTCAGTATTTAGCTAGTATTCCGAAAAGTAATGCATTTCACAAAGATTTTATAAAGATTTTATAATAAAAAAAAAACGTATTTTTTATTTAGATATGATAAAACGATCAAAATGATATTAAACATTGAATATTTTACAATGCGCTCTTTCCGAAAGTGTTCCTGGAAAACGTATCCAGTAATTGTTAAAGCATTTATGGCGCTTATGTGTGCGTGTATATTATTTTGATTAACTCTTTGTTGGATTGTTACTATAATTGAAGAGTTACAGTCTTGAGAAATATAAATGGATTATTGTAGATTATGTTATCACTTTATCTGATTTTAATACTAATTCAATCGTTTATCTCTTATGCTCGGTCGAATTTCAATACTGTAACTTGAGACAAGAAGAATCACAACTTTTGCATATTGGTGCAAATTAAATGCTATTGAACTTAAATGTAAAATTGATCCTGATTAATTAAAATTTGATAGAGGCTGTGTGTGTGTGTGTGTGTGTGTATATATATGTATTGTATATGTATGTACGTATGTATATGTGTATGTACATATACATACGTATGCAATCTCTACCAAATTTATATATGTATCATATAAAAGAAAGTATTTACTTTGCACCAGTGTGCATTAGTATATTCAATCGAATCCACAAAAATAGTTTAGAAAGTAATTAACAAGTAATTGTTATGTCATTACGATGTAACATACCTCGCGAAAATTGTGAAAAGATCCTACGAAATGATAAAGTGTTAAGCCATATTAAGAGTGAATTACGTTTACAATTATGTATACATGATAATTAAATTTTGTACATAAAACAAAAGTGTATAATAAAAATTGTACAATATTACAAAATTGCAAACGTAACTACCAATCGCAAAAAACTATAAGTTGTTATGTAAAATAAAAATACATATTTTAATTGCATTTTTTAATATTGCGGTTGGTATGAGTTATATATTAAAAAATTTCTCATACATATATATATTTTATAAAATAAGCGAACGCAAAATTTCTTGTAAATATTAAAAACATTCGTTCCGATAATTGAAAACAATCATTTATAATGATTATATAGTCATTATAAATGATTATTTTCAATTATCGGAATGAATTTATGTGTAAAATGATTAATAAATTACTAATGCCCATTTCCACCAATGTAGATTAACTTTAATCTTGGCTCAATTTGCTTTTCGTCTTTTTCTAGTTCTAAAAATTAGAAACAGGTGAACAGTAAGTTAAATCGAGATTAAAGTTAATCTATATTGATGAAAACGGACATAAGTCATTTTGCATAATGTTTTAAAATAACGCTGTTAATTGTTCGCGAAGTGATATTATGATATACATCGATATAGATGTTATTGTATATACACAGGTTTTCATAAAGTCAACGAAATTTCACATGCCATAGTTACCATACTATCAAACATAATAATAATATCATCCTTATCACCAAATCATTACCCTTCCTCTCATTAGTTCTACATTTCAATTCTATACTGATATAAAGAAAACTCCATCCAAATGGAACATGTTAGTGATTCGAAGATATATTAGAAGATTGTATAATGCATTCGTTTGTTCTCGTTATCTCATGATATTAACGCATTTTACAAAAGTATTTAAACATTCTTTCAAAACTTTATCTTAAAAAATTTCTAATTCTTGAATAATCAAACTCTATATTATAGAGACTCATCGATATATATGACCAGAGAGAAAAAGCACGTACATTACTATTTAGCTAACTACTAGCTCTTAATAGAGGTAGTATAAATAATGCTATTGTTACTATTATGCTTTTCTAGGTAATTTCCACGAAAGTATCGTAATAAAAGAATTGATATGTAGATCTCTCACACTACTAAACTATGGGAATTTCTACTCGCTTTCATAAAATCTATCCGTCCGCTAAAGTAGTTTGTTGAATCCAGAATAACTAGTTTTTTCTTATACAACAATTTAAAAAAAAAAATTAAGACCCAATAACTCATAATCTCTTGTGTCATTTTAAATTAATGCATCAAAGTCTCTAAAATCTGTTTCACAATTTTAACTAAATTTGTAATTCTATAATCTTCCATCGGAACAAATTAAAATATTTATTAAGATTAATTTGTTCCGGAAACAATATCCTGTTACAATTTTTTTTTACAAAATATCTTTATGTAATAATGTATTATTATTTAAGAATTTTTTTTTTTTAATACCATTACACAATAGAAAAAAATACATTAATATTCTATTTCTCTTAAACATAGATAATATACGATCCGGAATTAGAAAATTTACAAATAAGGTATACATGCTACTAATGTTAGAGGCCAACGCTTTTTACGAACAGGAAACGAACCATAAAAAACACAATTACACGTAGAACATCTTCCCATTCTCTTTAATAAATTTCCCACATCTAAGAATATACGTTTCGTATGATGAGTTAAAAATTTATAGTGTAGTGTGAGTAAGAGAGGCATAATGAAATCTAGAATAATATGAATGAAAGTATCACTTTCCTATTTCCAATTGTCACCATGCAGTTATCTTCCTCAAATATTTTGTACTATTCCTAGACGACATTATATATATAATAGATTTTTGTACATATTATAAATATTCATACGTACGTATGTACATGCACATGTACATTTTACGCAAACGGATGTAAGCATAATTTTGCGAGCGACATTGCCTTAGCGCATTTTTCCCAAACTTCTCGCCTAATTCTCGATTAATCACGTAGAATAGATAATCAAAGCTATGACTACGTATAAGACTACTGTACATCTGCATACACGTACAAAGCTCATTCCTCGATTCTGAATGTAAATGTTAAGGAGAGAGGACTTGTTTGTGAAATATTCACGATAATTGTAAACTCCGATATCAACTTTATCTCGTTAAAGAAACAATCGAGCACACCGAATCTCATTTCGCACCAATCGCCTCCTACGACAAGTTTCATTCATTTTTCATAGATCATTTCGAGATTTATATTTTTTGTATCGATATTATATCGTTTTTATGTATTAACTCATGCAAAATTTGGCGAATTTAATTTAAGACCTGTACACAAAATGAAAACAAGTGTATCTGTAAAGCGCTACATGTAATGGCAGACGTTTTATCCTTAAATATTCGAATCTCGAGAAAAATTACACTATAGTGTCACGTTGACAGTAATTCCTTATAACAAGCACAAACATTTATTTGTATTTTTACGTGTATACGCTATTTACAGATGATGCATGAGTGTTTATTCAAACGGAGATATACTGTGATTTACGTCCAATGTACTTACTTCAGTGTGAAGAGAAGAGAATTGAAAATAAAATAGAAATACAAATATGCGTGACATCAAATTGAAGTACAATCTATAATTAAATTTTCCTGTATATACCTATACATACATTTATCCTTGCATTCGTTAAGTATTTTCGCAAATTTCTTTCTTACATATTGTAAATTAATATTCTGTAAAAATTCAATAAACTTTAAAATTATTTGTCGAAAATTTTACTTTATAGATTTGGATACTCATAATTTAGTTTTGCATGAATAATGATATATATTTATTATCAATTTCAAAATTGTATTATATTATACAAATATGTATTTATCAGTATATTATTATCTATGAATTTGACAAAATCTATCAGAAGTATGTAATAAATTTATATTATTACATTTATATTGTATTTTATTTATTAGATATTATTTATATTATTTCATTATTCTTTAAAATAATATATATTTTATCCAAATATCTGAATATTAATATAAAAAGTGCTATTATATTTGTAATTGTCAATTATATCTAATAATACCCTACAATTATATTCTTTTTATAGATTTTTTACAAATACCAAAATATACATAAAAATAATACAAACAGAAAAAAATACGTACATTTAATCGCAGATAGATTGCAACGTTTTCGCTCTCAGTGGATTTTCAAATGCGCACAAATGACGAAGGCAATCTTATAATTTTTCTGTGTTCCAGAACTCATTGATTTTCAATGCAACTTCTTACTAGCTCCTAGGGAATACTTACGTTCTATTCTGAAGAAGAGTTATGTTTTCCCCGTTCCTGTAGACTGCACTAGAACTCTGTTTCTTGCTTTTGACAAATATCAAACATATATCTATCACTCACTTTAAGTTCCAAAAGTGTATATTACTTCAGCCACAGAAAAACAGACCTTAGATTTACGAACGTAATTTTTGGCGCCATTTTAGTGCCTAACCTAATAAAAATGATCGTGCCGATTAAAAGGTAAATCATCACAATTCTTCTATGCCGGTAATATTTTATTTATTATAAAAATCGAATAACTTTTTTTTACCATCAAATAAATTATAATGATTTCTTTTTAGAGACGGAAACATAGAAACTTGGGCTATTATAGATCTCCAAGGCGATCTAAAATTCGAAACAATTGATAATTCAAATGATCAATTAATCGGCGATCTTCACTTCACGAAAACTGGAGTACCTATTTTAATCATCGGAATTCACGTGTTACATGGAAAAGAGGTAACACTTGACAAGCCACTACTTGTATTGGAGAAACATTGTGATATCAGAAATGAGGTGGAAGAGGAAGCTATGACAAAGACCCAGTACTTTGTGAAAGCTATTGTGAGGAAGAAACTGTTGTTTAAGTCAAGACCGAAGCCTATAGTAACCAATGTACCTAAACCATGTTAAGACAGGTTCATAATATTATTTACGCTTACACAAATGTATACAACCTTATATAAGAAATAAAATTATTTTATTTTATTAGTTGAATTAAATTAATTCTTAATAATACAATGGGTTTGGGATGTAATAAAAATTAAAGTTTCAGATTTTCATCACTTCAGTCCTTCATCTCGCCCTCTTCATCTGATTCTTCTACTCCTCGTATATACATAACATTGTTACACCTGATTAGCACTTCACCGAGGTTCCCAGTACAATTACCCTCTATGTGTTCTTCAGTATTTGCAAGCTGCAAATTCATGTATCCGTCAACTGAGACAAGGTAACCTTTGTATTCGTGGCCCCATTTTAACTTCACCATGACTGGTTTTCCAGTCAAACCATTTAGGAATGGCTTGGGATTTATTGGCATTGTCGCAGCCATGATTCAGAGATTCTGTAATCTGTATTTAAAAAATATATATTAGTACACAAGTTATTTTATGCTATTTATAAAAATAAAGTATTTGTAACATAATCTTTCAGAAATATATTAAAATATCAATTTTTATACATGAATAGCAGTTTCTACCGATTAGTAAGCAATGAGTGCCTTCAACCTTATTTTGAGGTTATATCACATCTCCTATATTTGCTCCGTTTCATACTACTTAATTACTACATAATTTTCTCAATTCTCTTTACACAGTTATAATTTTCTTTAATTGTTCGTGCTTAATTGAATGTGAATACTATCTTCTATCATGCCGGTTATGTCAAAATAAACGCACATACAAGACTCAAAAGTAATAGCACTTTTCGTAGCAAATTTCAATGGAAACATAAATTATGTTACAAACAAGAAATCTATAAATACGAAATATAAACACGTAGACACTTCATTACTTACTCTTTAACAGAAATGTACAAAAATTCTTCGCGCACAATGTGCTTGATCTTAATCTTACGAATGTATTTTCTGAGCAATGCAATTCGCATACGTTCTTTTATGAGTTGCCAACTGCAAGAAATAAAATTTCATTTACATGTCCAGAAATTGTCCACTCAGAATCGAAGAGAGTTGTCGCAGGTCTTAGTGCAATGCGTTTGTGAAAGTTTGTTTACATTCACTAAATCCATCTATGGGTTATTTGGAGCAACCGAAGTAAATCGGATCAATTAATCTGACAATTTAATTGTGTTGTATAAAGAGGTTCACTGACAATGAATATTTTACCGAAGAAAAGGTAAGTCAGATGCATTCAATTTGTATGTATCTTGAAACTGATTGTTTCTTTGTGTTTATTCAGATGGCATGTACGAACGAAGGAGAATATTGCTCGTGTACGGAGAGACGAAGCAAAAGCTGCAGAAGAAGAGAAGAGTAAAAAAGAACGAATTCAGAAAGCAGTACGTGATAAATTATTTTTGAAAATTTTGATTATGTAGATCTTGTATTTTACTACCAAAAATTATTTCTTGACGTTTTTAGATATATACTTAATTTTACATTAAGTTCTTTTATTTTTTATTAGGAAACAGAAGCAAGAGTAGATTTGTTAAGACATCGAGCGAGATCCAAATACGATGGTCGGTCAACAACCGAAGGTTCTACTAGCGAGAAGTTAGAACATGTCAACTTCTTTGCAGAGCTTGAAGATGGAAAAATTGATTACACTAGACCTAATGCAGAACATGAGAAGGAAAAGAAGGAAGAAAAAGAGAAATATGAAAAACAGATTGGATATTTGACGTATTTAGGACAAGATACTAATGAAGCAACTGGAAAAAAAAATTGGTACGAAAAATTACCAAAGAGATTAACAGATACAGAGAAAGACATAGAGATAGAAGTAAAGAAGAAAACTTTAAACGATCCAATGGTTGATATAAAGAAGTATCTCAAGATTATGCATTCTAAATCTGCCGAAGATCATTTAAAAATACAAGCAGGGAGCATTAAAAGAAAGCATAATGATTCTGATAGTTCTCATTCCGATCATGAAAAGCACAGTGAACACAAAAAGTATAAAGATAAAAAACATAAGAAGAAAAAACATAAACATTCAGAGAAGAAAGAAGATAGAAGTCAAAGCAGTACAAATGTAGAAAAATTAAGAGCAGAGAGATTACTCAGGGAGCAAAGTGAAAAGCTAAGAACTGAAGCACTATTGGCCAAAGTGAGAGGTGAACCAATGTCCATTGTAGCACCAGAAATTCCTAAACCTGCTATAAAACAAAAATACAACTCGCAATTCTTTCCTGAAATTGCTAGACAAAATGCAGAGAGAACGCCTAAACATTCTAGACAAAATTTAGCAAGTCCTTAAAATATATTATTTTTATATTTCTTTTATCTTGAGAAATTGTTGTAATTATATAACTTAATTATCTTTGTAATTATATATTATATATATATATATATGTATATAGAAAATACTGTTA